GCTTATATCAAAATCTGACTGCAGAAATAATTTAAAATAGTTAAAAACTGAAAATAGTTTTGAGCATTCCAAATTTTTTTATTTTCTATAAATTTACTTAATTTATTTTAGTTTTTTTTGTCTTGCGACCCAAATCAAAATTTTTAAACTAAATTTGTTTAAATGAACGATAGACGCTGAGCTCGTGCACGATGTGAGGTGAATCAATTGTTTTAAATTCTCATATCTCTGAAAGAAGTTAAGATCACGTTTCAGTTCATCTCAGATACATTTATATCTAATCTTTTAATCAGCGATTTGTGTGATAACATATATAAAAAAAACTTAAAAATTGTGCAAAAAAAAAAAATATTTGCATTGCACTAAACAAACAATTCTATTCTTTGAAAATTTATTTGAATTTATATTTTATTTTTTAAAGTTTGTATTTGTTTAGGTTAAAATTAATTTTTTTTTAATTAAAATTACTTGAAAAAATTATTATAAAATTTTTTCTCCATTATAACATTTTTTGCTATATTACTAGTTATAGTCAAAAATTAATATTTTAATTGACGAATTTTAGTACATATACTCTGATTGGTTTTTTTTTATATATGAAAGTTCACTTCATCTTAATACTACAATTATAATAGACACAAAAATATATATATTTAAGATATAATTAATAGTAGATTACGTTAGGTTATACCGGCGATCGCAAGGGATCCATTTAGTTCTATAGTCTATTGTCTCACCCTGTAACTAAAAACATAAGGGTTGAAACTACTTAGAAACTATGACAAAGCTTTGAATCCCATTCAAAGGGAGGCCTTGTAATTCGCCAATATCCTCAAATAGAAAGCCCCTAAAGTGTTAAGGCAGCGTCGTGCAATTGCCGGACAAATACAAAGCAGACTGTCACTACTGCGGTAGGTAAAGTTGAAAGGATGATTTAGTCTCCTAGCATGGCTACCATGTATATCTACAGGGCATCTCAATGAGAGAGTTTGGTTTTCTTTTATTCGTGCCTAGTCAAATTGCATACAGATGCCTGCATATCGTTGAGTCTTCCCATTTTTTATTAAAAAGCTTTGCACAGGAAGAAATCAGTGCCAGTTTGTATGATGCCAACAATATACCCAGATTATTTAGGTGTTACGAGTGGTTTCCTGAAGCACCAAATCTGGCACCCCATCATCTGCTTTACAATTTTCGAAAAGAACTCTATGATTGAGTAGTGAAATATTGAACTGCATCGACAACTCATTTAGAGATGTGTAGCAGTCAAAAACTGTCTTAGATGTAAATGGGACTGAGTTCAAGAACTTTAAAGTAGCTTAACTATCGGATAGTATGTATATATTCCTATCATATATATCATCTACTTCTAGACAAGCTTTAGCCTCCCTTATATCAATCACTTCTATCTGAAAAACACTACATTGATGTATTGTCCTAAAATAAGAGGATATATATTTAGCCCTTCTTAGAAAACTCCACTTCCTACGCCACTTCTAGTTTTTGAACCGTCGGTAAAATAGTTAGATTAGATTAATTGATAGTAAGTCAGATTTAACATTACACTAGCTCTTTAGCTGGTTTGTTTAAACCAGAAAATGACCATAGAAATATATGCATAACTTATTAGCCTAAAAAAAGATTGAGATGCTTAACTCATAATAAGAGATGGATTCTTCTGAATCATTATTAAGATTTTTCTTCATAAAATGCGTTTTTACGGGGTCTGGCAAATGCACTATGGTATGTAAGGAACTCTGATCTGCATCGCGATCTAGGGATAAATGCGGTGATGAAAAAATACAGGGAAATGCAAGAATGCACCTGCAGCGACTTCTGATTAAATTCTTCATAATTGCGGTTTAAAATTGTTTGTTAGCTTATTATTATTATTGTGAGCTAGTTACTTTTATAAAATTTATTTAATCAAATGAAATAAATGTATATAAAAAAAAAAATTAAATTCGATTTTATCAACTTGGGAGAGAATTATACAAAACTCTTAGGAGAGTTAGCCAGAAGTCCAATATTAATCTAATGAGGTCATTGATCATTGACCATTGGTTTTTTGAAAAAACAAATAATTTTTATCACTTTTATTCTAATAATTTTGTTATAAAAATAAAACATATTTAAAGCAAATATTTTTATGAATAAACTTCAGATACTTAATAACGAAATAAGCTGTTAGGCTTTCTTATAGCAAAATTTATTAGTTATATACTGCAATAAACATATTTATTGAAATTTAAAAATATTTAAATAATATTTAAAATTTTAATATTTAATGATAAATGTAAACTGTGCATCCTGAAAGATTACCACAAATTTTATGGATGTATTCAGTTGCTTATTCACGGCTGGATGATTTTTCCAGCGCATACTTTCCTAAGGATACATAAACGTAAATATACTAAAGGATGATGTACTTGGGTTTTATGCATGTACCTATGTGTGTAGTATATCTCTTTCAAAGTTGAAGATAAGAGAATCGACTGGTTTTTAAGGACTTCCTGAACAACATTTTCAGAGTGAATATTTGTAAGAGTTTGCATGATTTATTCATTGCAAAAGGATAAAGGAAAAAGAACGTTTATTCAAAATATTTTATCATTAAAAAACATAAAATTTATCTCAAAGTAAACTGTATTTTTTTTCTATCAATTTTTATAAATTTTATTTAAAAATTTGTTTTTTAAACATTTATTTTTACAATCGATATAATTTTATGATAAAACTTTTTTATGCTCAATTAAATTTCATAATAAATGAATTATTATGAAATAAAGAAAAATATTTAATAATACTCAATAGATAAACATAAGAAAACTAAGAAAAAAAAATTATACAAAAGAAAATTATGAAAGTTTAAATCATTAAATGAAGTAATGAAGAAAGGCAAAAAATGAAAAAAAAAGAAAAAATTAAACCGACAAATACGAACGAATTAAGAGGAAAATGAAATAATTGGAAAAATCTGCATCAATTGGAAATAAGATAAATAATTAACTCAGACATTGAAGATGACTTCAACTTTGAATAAGAGTATAAATCATACTGATTATATATAAGTGGAACTGAACTAAGTGATCCAAAAAGTAATTAATTAATTAAGAGTTATATTTAGAACTACAAAGATCACCGAAGTCTTTATTATTATTTATAATGATAGATACAATTATAACTAAGGAAATAAATGTATTCCCGAACGATCCTGATATTCACTGACATTCATATCAGCCTCCGCCAGTCAGCCCGATTAGATCCTTATCTACCAATCCCTTATCATGCCTGTCCTGCTGTATGGTGCAGAAGCTTGGACAACTACCAACAGTGATGAGAAGGCGTTAGGAGCATTCGAGAGAAAAATTCTTCGGAAGATCTATGGTCGCTTACGCGTTGGCGACGAGTATCGAATTAGATGGAACGATGAGCTGTATGAGCTATAGCGCGACATTGACATAGTTAAGCGCATAAAAATTCAGCGGCTACGCTGGCTTGGTCATGTCGTGCGAATGGAAGAAAGTGCTCCGGCTAGAAAGGTATTTGATTCGGTACCCGCAGTTGGAAAACGATGAGCTGTATGAGCTATACCGCGACATTGACATAGTTAAGCGCATAAAAATTCAGCGGCTACGCTGGCTTTGTCATGTCGTGCGAATGGAAGAAAGTGCTCCGGCTAGAAAGGTATTTGATTCGGTACCCGCAGTTGGAAAACGCGGTAGAGGACGTCCGCATCTTCGGTGGAAGGACCAGCTGACCAACGATTTGGGGGCGCTCGGTACTACCAACTGGATTGATAGTTACCTGACTTTAAAACAGTTCACAACCCCAGAGCGAAATCAATCAATATTTTGTATATCTGGCAAGTTTTAAATGATAGCTGTAAGAGTTTCGACTTCATTAGATGCTTGGTTAGCTATTTCCAAATAATTAAAATAGTACACCTCGGAGTTTTTTTATAAATTGGGAAAAATTGAATAACGTTCAGTAATAAAATTCCTCCATTTGAAAGGAATGTAAGTACAATGATGCAATCAAATTTGGAAATGGATTCTGTTTACGGCAACCTTGCACCATTGTTAACAGCAATAAATTATTGGAAAGCTAAATTTAAACGTGGTCGTACGAGTGTTTTTAATGTAGAATCTCCCGATCGTCCTAAAGAGATCGGTCCACGATATTGTGTTGGAGGATTTAAAGATTAACTTGCGTGAGATATCAGTGATAACAAACATATCATATGAAAGTGTATCAAAAATTTTACATGAATATTTGGACATGAGAAAGCTTTGAGCAAGATGGGTGCTGGGTTTGATTAAAACTTCAGTTAAATATTGAGATAATAAAAAATTATATATGATGATGTTAATACAAACAACTACAAACTATAACAATAGTATTCTTAAAAATGTATATGTTTTCTAAATAAAATATACAATCTTAAATTACACTTCTTAATTGTAGTTTCTTCAAATATTGGATAATACCGCTGGGTAATAATGAGGATTTGCCGAGACTTATGAGATTAAGTATCTTAGAGCTTTCACTCAGACAATAATAAATTTAAATACAATAAATTTTGTTTAATAGATTTTAATAGTTTAAAAATATATCACAAATAATAATGTATTGGTTTAATTGTCCAATACTATATAATGTATAATGTTTGGACTTCAAGTGTCAAAATTCGAACCCTGTCAAATTTAAAGTCACTGTTATTTGTTATTTTTTTTAATTTTAAGACTTTTGTTTGTAAAAAATATGCTTGTATCTACTTGATATCGCTTGTTTTTAACAAATAATATAAAAAGTTTGTCAAAAACTGAAATAGCTGCATGATACGCCTGAGGATTTAATTAATTAAAAAATTTTTTGGATTTAAAAATTTTCTTGTTATTTCCTAACTTTTCTTGTCTAAGGGCATGAAATTCTTAACATATAAAATTGATTTTATTTAAGATATTTTAAAAAATTATTTATTATATTGTTACGTTTATTCAAACGCTTCGTTCGATAACACTGGATTCTGATAAGTGAATAATATTAAACTTGTATTAATTATAACCGTAATTTATCTTCTGAAACACACACAACTTTATTGCTTAAAATAACCAACTTCTCTATTCTCTTAAAAATTAACCAACTACATTTAAAAACTTATTTACTAGCTAACTGACATAATTTAAAATTATCTCAGTTAACTTGAATCGATTTGTATCTTCGCAACACTGCCCTCCACCTAAACTTGTTCGTCCCGAACAAGTGTCACCATATCTTCATGACAACGCGCCAACCGTTCCAAATGAACTACTTTCATCTTATTCTCATTATTTCTTATGTCCGAAACGAACAAGACATCTCTGACATCAGCATTAAATTCACTACCCGTAGCCAATACGTCATCTGTGGTATCCTCATGAAACAAGACATTTACATCAATTGTCACGTTCTTATCATCTGTGAGGTTGGCATCAACGTTTAACGGTATATCTTTATAAGACAACTTCGCGATCAACAAGCCCTCTGCGATCTCCGCATCATATTTGATTTCCTGATTAATCCTGAACGGATGCACCAAAGTTCGTGCAAATACGATATTATCGACTCCGACATTTTCCATGGCTTCTACAATCCAGCATCTGTTCGTCCTTTTATTCGCGTCTAGTTTTCCCCATACAATCGCTTCTGAATTTGCCGGTATTCGTCGTCGTCGATTCAATCGAACCTGTCTCACCCTATCGCAATGCTCACTGCCAGTATTCAATGGACATTCCATTACCGCGCTCCGTAGGATACGTTGTTCTAAGTCCAACGTAATTCCATTGGCAATCATAAAATCTACTTCAAATGAAATACCCTCAACATATATAACATATGGGGATTCTTGCTCGTCCAAGCAGATGTCATCATTCAAAATTCTCGGTCACTTCAAAACATGTTTCGAACTTTCTTCAACAAAATTTTTTAATATTTAGGGTATCAAGAAGTATATAAGGAAATAAGATATTTGCTAACGTGCCATTGACAAGGTGTACAAGAATATATACAGTCCGAAGATAACATTCGGAATGCAACTATCACGTTTTCCTATATATAATAAATCGTAATTCACGCTTAACAACAATTTCTCGTTGGGACATAAACTTCTAATTGGGATCCAAAAACACGAGTTTTGTAACAAGAATTGTTGGCCTGACGTATACTAGATATTTAATACATAATCATTTAATAAACAAGTGAAAATGATTGAAAGTTCGATATCTGGCAATGCCACTAAACCCGAAAGTATAACATTAAAATATAAAGGTGATGGAACGTCTGTGTCTCCTAAGGATAGACAATATGGAGGAGATACAATATTTCAAAATAATGATTGCCCCTTAACAAGTGAACAATTCTTAAGAGCAAGACAGAAATTTGTTCTTCTTGAAAATGCAAATAGTACAAACGATAGGAATACCTCAGCAGGAAAAGATGTTAATAAAAAACAAAAACAGTTCCAAACCAGTTGAAGCAAATAGAAATCTTCCGAAGGAGTTTGCAGAGACAAGTTACTCAACCATTGACACTGAACATGAAATCAACCCTCCATTTCAGCCTCTACTCTATGAGGGATCAGCCTCCACAGTCTCACCTGTAGAATTGAATCCAAATGAAATACCCTCAACATATATAACATATGGGGATTCTTGCTCGTCCAAGCAGATGTCATCAACTGATTCAGCTATACCAAAGCCGATTAACACAAAATCATAACTATGTAAACCGAAATAGTCTTTCCTCCTTTTCTTTCTTCTCTTTTTTCTGTTTCTTTTTTCCCTATTCATTATTTGAATCAGTCTTCTTCTCCCCCTTATCTTATTTCTTGTTTTCTCTCTTATCCTTCTTTCTTTTCTTCTCTTTCCTCTATTTCTTTTTACCTCCTTTCTTGTCTTCTTTTTTGTCTTTCTTCCTGCCTTCATTTCTGTCTTTTCTTTTGCCTTCAAACACACACAACTTTATTGCTTAAAATAACCAACTTCCTATTCTCTTAAAATTAACCAACTACATTTAAAAACTTATTTACTAGCTAACTGACATAATTTAAAATTATCTCAGTTAACTTGAATCGATTTGTATCTTCGCAACAATATATATAGATAAGTAGATTATAAATAAAATAGTATATCAAAAAAAAATTAATAGTTTTTTACGAACTTGTAACTATAACTATTATTTTTAAAAAAATACTAAATTTTTCTGCCACCTATATTTCGACTATAGATATAGACTATAGTATATAGTCAATTGCCATCAATATTTTATTTTCACCAGTATTTTGATTATAGATGACTATAGACTAGAGTTTATAGCCAATTACTAATATTATTTTATTTTCACGCATATTTTGACTATAGACTAGAGTCTATAGTCAATAGACTAGAGTCTATAGTCAATAGACTAGAGTCTATAGTCAATAGACTAGAGTCTATAGTCAATAGACTAGAGTCTATAGTCAATAGACTAGAGTCTATAGTCAATAGACTAGAGTCTATAGTCAATAGACTAGAGTCTATAGTCAATAGACTAGAGTCTATAGTCAATAGACTAGAGTCTATAGTCAATAGACTAGATAGACTGTAGTTAATTGCCACCAACATTTCGACTACAGATAACTATAAACTGTAGTTTATAGACAATTATCATCAATTAAAATATATTTTTTAAAAATATTTATTTATTATTTATTTATTTATTATTATTATTTATTATTTATTAAAATATTTATTTAAATAAAGCCATGCATTATTTAAATAATTAATCAATAAATCCGTTCAAAAATATATAAATAAATTTGGTCATTAAAACAATGAATAAAAAAAAATATTATTAAAAAAAGAATATGTATGTAAAAAATATAAATATTAGTCTTTTCAAATTTTGTATGAAGAAGTAAAGCATTAAATTAAATTCTACTTATTTTTCTTTGATTGATTAGAATCGTTGAAATGTATAAAGTTATTAAAACTTACATTATTAAAAGAACCATTATTCTTTTTTAATGTTTGTTGAGAACACCTGAGAAATAAATTCACTAAATAAAAAAATTAACTAGGTAATAATAAAAAAACAGGTCATAAGAACTATTACAATTATGACTGGTTTTTATGAGGTATTTCAAGTACAAGTAACTCTCCATAAACTCATACGAAGTTGTATTAAATAACACAATTGACCTAAGGTTGTTCGATAAGTTTTTACTTTAATGAAAACTTAATGAGAAATCTGGGACGCTCTCGTTTGAGGAAGGAAGGAAGAGAATTGTAAATGTTAAAGGCGCAACAAAGTAATTTTATGAACTTGAAATCAATTAAATTTGCGTTTGGTCAAATTTAGGGCACAGCTGCAAGTCCAAACAAGAACTACGAGGACTTACTAAGGAAAACAAAGTGAAGAGAAAGGGTTTTTGTTTTTGAAGACAAGAAAAATCTAATCGTAAACAGCGATGAATTAGCACGCAATCAACTGTTGAATTCCCCGTTTTCCTGCCGCATTTAACGGTTATTGCAAGTAAAACCTTGTGCGAGCGGCTGTAAAATCGTTTTTAATTATAGCAAAACAACAACTGAAATAAAAACAATAGACGAAGCCCGGTCAGGTGTGGAATCGTGGAAATTGGGCGTGTTAATTTTCCTTCATTATTCCGCACATAAACTTGTAAAAGCCATTTACCAGGCATTTCCATTTTTTTTCTCACTTTCCTCTATTAATAGACAGAGGTTCACATGCAAGTACGCATACCAAAAAGTCTATCCGACCACATAAAATGTTGTTTGGCTCAGTTTGGTTTGGTTTGGTTTGGTCGGTGGCCATTAAACACAAATACATTTATTATGTTTGCAATTAGTGGAAGACAAATGTGCGTGTCCTTTCATATTATTAAATAGTCAAAAGGCCTAAAATAAATGTGGTCATAATGAAAACATCTCTCAAATGTTTGACAACAAAGTAAAATAGTTGATCAAATTAAAAAAATATTTATCATACGCGCTGTCCACTGACTGTTGCTGAAATGTCAACAATTCGCTGCATACTTTTCGGGTTGTGTTAATTTTTAATGGATGTTTATGTTGTGTGCGGCATTTAAGCAATTGCCGGTGAGGAATTTAAGCCTTTTTCAGTTTAAATTTAGAATTTAAATTAGAATCAAAAATTGTAGGCGATGCAAATAAAATAAAATAGAAAATTTCTTGATGTTTTTAAAATTTTATTTATTTCTAGAGATTTTTACAGGTATTAACAGTTTTAGTTAACAGCTGTTTTCTTTATTTTTTACAGTGAGCTAACAGTTTCTTATGATGTTATTTCATTTCTGCAATTTTTTCCGTTTCTAGTGCTATTGCATGGCACTTTGCTATTTTTTTATTCTTCCTCGTTTTTCATGCGATTACTAGCACTATTTTTTTATTTTATAATAATGATTGAGACAGTATTCTGCATTCAGTTCTAATATGAATTGAAATATATTTATTATAATGAATGTTATTTTCTAATGATATTCCTTTGTAAACATCATAACCCTCAATTAGCGGCTGTGTTACAGAAACATATTTTAACATTTATACGAAAGCAATGATATATATTTGAATGATTAAATATGGTTCTATTCAAATTTACAATTTTATGATGTCAATGTTTAACAACTGCCGTATATGTTAAAGTTCTGAAAATTTACTATAAATATAATGACTCGGTAGTAGGTACAGAAATACAGAATTTTCTTGTATCGAGGCTTATTTTTCAATGAGTTATGTGTTAAATTGTCACATATGAAAGAGTAAAAATCCACAATTAGTTTCATGGTAAATTTTATAATAATTGTAATTAATATGTTAATTAATATTTTAACCCCTTCTAGTAGTTTGTTAAAAGTATATTATATCCAAAAAAAACTTTACTGTTTTGTATGTCGTTTATTCAAGAAGTATCATAGATCCGTGTAATATGAATCAGAAACTATAGACTCTGTTTAAGATTATTGCTACAACCACATGATCATTAAATTTGTTAATTGACAGGAAATTGAAAATATGGATGTGAAACATATGTAGTTTCGACTGATCGAAGGTGTAATCACAAATTATTAATTCTGATCGCTATTTTTTTTACAAACACATGATAATGAATTTTATTTTGGAGTGAAATTGCAGATATGGATATCGAACATATGGTATTTGGTTACAACTGAACTGGTTTGACTTCGCTATCATACTCATTATTAACTGACATGAAAAGATAAGATAATGCTTTGTTGACTGGTCTACTCAAGCAAGAATCAAATGTATTAAGTCCATATATAATCTCGTAAGGATTAAATCAAGTATACAATTCTGTGGAAATGGGTCATACTATACTTAATGTGGAATCAGTTAACTACCAAATAAGTCTCTGTTAGATGGTCCTCACAAACTGACATTTCGGCCTTTATTTGAATATGGAAGTGTCTTCTATTCAGTTAGGATCGGATAGCAGCATAAAATACTAGATTTGACATTGCTTTACTTCAGGTACATATGCTAGTATCTAGTATATGTTCTATTTTAATCGAACTTCACGTTTTACTGATAACCACTAAAAAATATACTATATGTCACCAATAAAATTATTTTTTTGTGCGGTTACTTAAAGCATCGTAATTATGCTGACAATTCTTAAACTGCCGATGATTTGAAAACGAACATTAAGGAAATTATGACAGCTATGTGCGTATGAGACATGAAAAATTTTAGCAAAATAATCCTGTACTGTGAGATTTTCATATGAAAATAAATTTGTTCGAGATCCTAATCAAGTGTGTTCTATTTTGGTTTACTTTGGAAAACATAAGATATCCATGTATTAAAACTTGGTTCATGAGAGTAACCAAGCGAGAAAATGGATTCCCTTAATGGGTTGTCAAAATATTATTTTATAATAAAATTTTAATGATATTTTAATCTCATTTTATTTTTACTTTTTTTATTTACCAAAGGATACCATTTGATTTCATTAACATATAAAAAAATAACCAAGTAAATCGTTATCTAATCCTAATCCATAGCCTAGTTAAAAAATAAGTAAATCGAATTTGTAATGAATCAATTTTCAATGACTGGTTTATTTACTTTCTATGATGTCAATTCTATGATACAATTTACTAAAGTGATACCGAGGACTTTTTAATCTCGTGATTGTTTGGCATTCTGTTACAGAGTCCATAGTTTTTAAAGTGATTATTTAAAAATTTGCACTTCTTTCAAACTATTTCTCGGTTTTATTAAAATCGACTGTCATGGATACTTATTTAAATAAAATGTCACTTCTTTGTTGTCTCAACTTTATGTTTTGCTTTAAATTTATCTTACGCATAGTTGCATTTGAAATGTCCCTTAATTTCAGTCTTCGTTGCAACAAAATTAAGGCCGTTTGCCTTAATATTGTTCTAACCTTAAAACTGAATTTTGTATGGAAATAAACAACTTAATTTAGAACGAAGATGAAATTAGGATTTTTGCGAAATTAAGGTGTGTCTGAACATAGTATAAACCGTATTGCACTTTATTTAGTTCGAGTTGTAGAATATTCGAGCAACACAAGTTTCTGTTATGCAAGTTTGATTGTTTATAATGCTGAATTTGATGATCTTTATTTATAAACTTTTCTCTTAAACAAATATTCCTTATTTACTTTAAAACAAACTTCATCACTTTTTTTTAAACCAAACAAATCTTTGTAATTGAAGGGTTAAATGTTTTAATGCCACATTGTACGATACAGAAAATCTTTTGTTTAGTAAAGACTTCCACCTTATTTGTGCACAAACAGTGCAAGAGCAGCATTGTGTGTGAGAGATGCGATATAGCACGTATAATTTAACATAAGCAGCTGTAATTTAACATAATCAAATAGTAAATAATTTTATTATTTGCTGTTATTTGATGAAGAAAATGTTATTATCGGCACTGTTAAACTTTTAAAGACAGTACGCTTTTTAAAGGAAAATGTTGGTGAAAGCACTGAAATTGTGGAAAATACTCTGTGTTGGTCACACTGTCCGAGAGAAGCACTGTTAGCTTAAAATAATTTTTATCAATTTGC